TGTTGACCAGCCATTCTCTGTTATGAACATTGTTGGATAATCGTACCGTAAATTAAGGAAAATACATAACTTGTATAGACCATAAGGAGCACTCTGAAATTCAAGAAAAGATTAAATGAATTACTTTAAACTAGTTTTAGACATTATTAGCTGTCGCCCGCGACTCCGTCTGCGCGGAATTAAAAAAAAAAAACTATCGGTCGCGGGTTAATATTATATAGCCTAAACCTTCCTCTATAAATGGACCCAACAAAAAAATAATTTTTCAAAACGGACCAGTAGTTCCTGAGATTAGCGCGTTTAAACAAACTCTTCCGCTTTATAATATTAGTTTGAATAATTTGCCGCGAATCACGTGCTTTCGTTACAAAGTCAACTGTCAGAATGAATAGTGAGGGGACATAAATGTCGACATTTTAGTAAGGGTAGTGTTGCGTCGATACACCGGCACAGTGTCGGATTTTCTTCCTAACACTAGTTCAACATTTATTATATTTTTACGAGCACTTAAATAAATTAACTCAATCAAATAAAGATTGACTTAGGCGAGTTTCCATAGCTGAAACATTTGCATAAAAACATACGGAATTTTACTTAACCACACCATTTTTTTTAATAAATAGACACTAGCTGTCGCCCGTGACTACATCCGCGAGGTCTTAAAAAACTTAATAGCCTATGTGTTCTTCCAGACTATGTATGCCAAATTTTACCGAGATCCGTTTAGCCGTTTAGGAGATACCTTCAAACAAACATTCATCTATCCATCTATACATTCGCATTCATAATATTAGTAAGATAAATTTGACAAAAAAAAAACAAGAAAAAACTTATTAATTTTAAAATTAAGAATAGCGCCATCTAGTTAAATTTCAGACAACTTACTCTAAGCCATTGCGACGCGGATTTTTCCCATTGTTCACCATACACTAAGTCTACACCAATGTCGTCTGCGTACGATGGAGAATGGATATTTTTAGTTGAAGGTTTAATCAGAAATGTAGTATAATGATTAACACCAAGGAAATCCGCTGAACCTGGAAATTGGACAATCAAATTACTTATTAAATTTCATGGTTTTAAATAGTCGCAGCTGGCGGCAGCGATTTTCCGGAATTAAAAAAAACTTATTTTGTATTCTACGTGTTCTTCCAGACTAGTAGTAGCCATTCTGGAGATATCTTCTAACAAACATCCATCCAACTAAACATTCACATTTATAATATTAGTAAGATAAAGAACTCTTAGCAAATTTGACGTGACTTGGACCTAGGACTGTCCATAAATGTGTGAAAGAGGATATGCGTAAGAAGGGAGTAGACTCGGATATGACGGCTGATAGAGATGTATAGATGAGTAGTACATACTGTGCCGACCCTGAATAGGGATAAGGGCAGGTTGATGATGATACGTTTACCTTTTAACAATTTTATTTCTTCAGGGCTTAGTGTTGGCAATCGTGATCTATAAAAACCTTGTTGTTTACTTTTCTTTTCTATAATTTTTTTGACCATAGGTGAAAAATCTCCATTTTTTGACCATATTGGATCTAAATATACGCCTACCTGCAAAAACATAATAATATTAATATTTAGATTAGAAAAATTATTTTTACTCGAGAATATTATTAAATTTTTTCATCATCATCAGCTCACTGTACGTCCCCACCGAGGGGCTCGGAGCCTACCCTAAGTTAAGGGTGATTAGGCCATAGTCAACCACGCTGGCCCAGTGCGGGTTGGTTGACTTCGCACATATCTTTGAATTACTTCTCAGATATGTGCAGGTTGCATCACGATGTTTTCCTTCACTGTAAGAACGTCGGGTAAATGTACATATGTAAATCGGAAATCGAAAAACACATTGGTACATGGCGGGATTCGAACCCAGGACCTGCAGATTGCAAGTCAAGTGCTTGACCACTGAGCCACCGACGCTCGCTTAAACTTTTTAGACATTATTAATTAGAATCCTTTGGCACGAATGACGTGCTTTCGTTACAAAGTCCAGTGTCAGAATGAATAGTGAGGGGAAACAAACGTCGACATTTTAGTAAGGCTAGTGTGTACACTGGCACAGCGTCGGATTTCCTTCATTACAAAATATAGTTTAGTCTTTTAACTTTGTTACTAAGACTGTAAAAGTACAGATTGTATGTCTAGTTTTTTAATTAAAAAAATGTCTTAAAAATTGTATTAATATTTACCTCAAATTCTCGATATTTTTCTACGGCTTCAACATTTTCAGTTTTATTATTCAATGGATCAGCCCAATTTATTGACATCGATATACCAACGGATCCTAAAAGAAAAGAAATAAAGAATAAAATAATTATATGTAACTAGTAACGCTAATTATTCCCAGGGAGGGCCTGGAGTGGATTCCGCTAGGAACAAGAAGACGTGGCCGTCCTAAACAAACTTGGCGGCGCTCAGTAGCAGCCGACATGAAGGCAGTCGGGCTGACATGGCCCGACAAACGCAGAAGCCCTCTGCCCCACTACGGAGACATGGGACTTTAAGTCAAGTAAGTTAATAACGCTAATTGAGCGTCGGTGCCTCAGGTGACTTGACTTGCAATCTGCAGGTATTGAGTTCGAATACCGCCATGTATCAATGTGTTTTACGATTTCCGATTTACATATGTACATTTATCCGACGTTCTTACGGTGAAGGAAAACATCGTGATGCTGCACATATCTGAGAAGAAATTCAAAGATATGTGTGATGTCAACCAACCCGCACTTAACCATCATGGTTGACTATGGCCTACTGACCCCTAACTTAGGCTCCGAGTCCCTCAATAGGGACGTATAGTAAACTGATGACGATGTAACTAACAAGTATATATAATTATTTAATAAAATAATAATTATAAGTATATAATTAAAAAGTTAATAATAATCTGTAAATTCATCGTAATATCTTCACAATAATTTAACAACAAAATTAAATAAACAAAAAATCATCAGATTGAACGCAAACATTACACTATTTTGAATGTATTTAATGAAAATTTTACAAATCAATTAAACTATTATAATATTGCAGAACAAACATAGTTATTGCTAAAAATTACCTTTATACTTCTTTTTAAATTCTCTCTCATATAACCTAAAAACTTTAGCATGGGCTAATAATATATTCTTAGCACATTGATATTCCGTTACACCTTTAATGTTAATTCCCGGTGCTAACATAGTATCTCCATATCCGTATATACATATCGCATTTGGTTGGTTTATAGTTATCCAATATGGTACTTTATGTGCGTATTTATTGAAAACTACCCTCGCATAATCTTCGAACCAATCAATAGATAGAGGATTTACCCAACCACCTAAATCTTGTAGTTTTTGTGGTAAATCATAGTGATACAATGTAATCATTGGTGTTATATTGTAATGTAAAAGTTCATCTATTAAGCTATCGTAGTATTGGAAACCGTGCTCGTTCTGATCATGTGGAAAACCTGAAAGGTAAAGTAACTCATTATATTTTTGTCTAAAAGAATCTTTACTTGTTAATGTAGTGTTGTTTGTCTCGAGCGTATACGTCATAACTACACGCTAGAGAGGGGGGTCAGTCGATGTCAGACCTTTGGACCGGCAACACGTATCGGTACGTGAAGGAGTCAAATTTGTAACACTTAATTACCCTACTAAGCAATAGTACTTATAGTAGTTATATATCTTAGAGGCGCAGGACTTCGCGCGAGTCGTTGCGCAGAACACAATTTTCAAACGCACTACGCTGCGCGCATGACCTTGAGCCGCTAATATATTTGAAAAGAATTATACTTATTACAAATTTGAACGAAAATGTATTATATCGCACTTATATATGCGTTTCATTTAAGAATATGCATGAATACACACCATATAGTCACGTAGAATCGATAATGTAGACCAATACAATAAAAATCACCTTATTTACACACGCATATCAAACTTATAACATAAAGGGGTAGGCAGAGACCTCGTATCTCCATTTGACGTGACGTTAATAAATAACTCACCAGATGGCAGCACTCTAGGCCAAGATATAGAGAATCTGTAATAATCCACACCGAGCTCTCGCAGTAATTCCACGTCTCGTTTATATTTATGATAGGAATCGCATGCGACATCGCCGTTTCTGCCATCCGCTATTAATTCTGGATGACTATGCATATATCTGTCCCATATACTTTCACCTTTGCCTAAAAAGTTATTATAGGTAAATAGTCAAATCCAATAGATGTGTGAAATTAAACCTATATAATTTTACTTTTGTAATAGACTTCGTCGTTCGGGCGTTGGTGGCTCAGGGGTCAAGCACGAGACTTGCAATCTGCAGGTCCGGGGTTCAAATCCCGCCTTGTACTAATGTGTTTGTCGATTTCCGATTTACATATGTACATTTATCCAACGTTTTTACGGTGAAGAAAACATCGTGATGCTGCACATATCTGAAAAGAAATTCAAAGATATGTGTGAAGTCAACCAACCCGCATTGGGCCAGCGTGGTTGATTATGGCCTAATCACCCTTAACTTAGCGTAGGCTCCGAGCCCCTCGGTGGGGACGTATAGTGAGCTGATGATGATGTAGAACATAGCCTGGAAGAGCACATAGGCTACTTATCTTTTTTTAATTCCGCGCAGACGGAGTTGCTGGCGACGACTAATTTTTAGATATAAAATTGAAATGAGTTTTATCTTATCGTAAATCACTTAACGTAGATTACTTATAGTAATGGTTAGTTTCTTGGTATGGCTGATAAAGTAGGTCATATTTAACTGTAATTTATTACTATAAATGCCACTGATGGTTAAATTAACCTGGCATATAAGGAAGCTTGCTACTTCCAGTGTACTTCTGTGTACGTCTATTATAAAATTTCAAACTGAAAACTATTTTAACTTCTTTTTTTTATTTTAACGTAAATTTGGCGTTTTAAGAAGTTACTAAAGTTTATATCTTATACATAAAGAAATAAACATATCTTACTAATATTATCTCCAAATTTCCATATCTCCAAAACGGCTGAACGTATCTCAATGAAATTTGGCATAGATGTAGAACATAGTCTGAAAGAACATATAGGCTATCAAGTCGTATAATAATTTCGTGCCGACGACATCGCAGGCCACAGCTAATAAGTAAAGCTAGTTTCAGTTGAAACCTACAGGTTTGTACGGAACCCTCGGTGCGCGAGTTCGATTTAAATTAAACATACCATCAGTATCCCATGCCCCTTCAACTTGATAAGCAGCTGACGATACACCAAATTTGAAGTCATCTTTGAAACTCCTCTGTTTGGTGTCACTCCAACCATCAATTGTTACACCACTGAATATTTGACAATATTAAAATTATTCAAACTTTCTTGAGACATAATAATCAACTTATATAAAAACGACTAAACACTCACGTATATTCATCCGGTGGAGGCACCGACTAGTTTCGAGCCCATCGGGGGCCTTTCATCAGGATGAGTGGGACTGGTATGAAAGTATCTCTCGGCCGGCTGAATGGATCTCGATGAAATTTGGCATACATATAGAACATCTGGAAGAACACATAGACTACTAATTTTGTTTTTTTTTTACAAATACGTACAGAGTCGCGGGATACAGCTAGAAATTATAAAGTTGGAATGAATATATTAATACATACCATAAAGCCACAATAAACAAAAATAACATCATATTCGTAATTGTTTATTTCATATTAATTAAATAAATAATAGCACTGTTTCGTTGCGTATAGTTTTAAAGCATGAACTATACTAATCGGCAATAATTACGTGCAATTGATAAGAAAAATTATATTTATCAATTAGTAATTTTAATATTATCTATATATCTTCTACTTATCTTTCTTCGTACTAATATTATACATGCGTAAGTTTAGATAGATAGTTATTCAACATCATCATCAGCTCACTATACGTCCCCACTGAGGTGCTACGCCTACCCTAAGTTAAGGGTTTAGACCATAGTCAAGCACGCCACCACTATAACTTCAAATTAAATTAATTAATTATTGTGACCTATATATGTATATTAACGGAGAATTCTAAACGAAACTTTTACTATAACCCGCAACTTGAGACCTGCAGCGCCCACAAGGGGGCGTTAAGGCCCACTTTGGGAAAGACTGGTTTAGATGGATGGATGGGTGTTTGAAGATATCTCTAGAACGGCTTAACGGATCTCGTTTAAATTTAGCATACGCATAGAACATAGTCTGAAAGAACACATAAGCTACACTAATTAAGTTTTTTTTTTATATATCGTACGGTTTTTGTGTTATTTTGGTACGCTGGGTCACCGACGTCGTCAACACGGACAAACGACCGCCGTCACGTCATTTTAATCATGGACAGAAATTAGCTCGTGACAGTGCCGTTGCCGGTGGCCGTGTTGGAGAACAATCAGCGATAGGTTTATTAGTTTTAAGTTTTTAAAATGCACACTATTCGTTTAAAAAAAAAAGTGAAAATCTACTACCGTAATAAGTGTTAAGACATATTCCTGTCTCTTTTATTTTTTGGGATAATGATAGGGATGAAAGAAATCTCAAGTATTTCAACAAAGGAAGTCCACAATTGAATTGATATGTTATCTACCAATAGATAATATTCAAGTATTTTTTAAAGTGTTTGCGAACTTTAAAAGTATATCAGATGACATATTTTATCTAAAATAGAAGAGCTATAGGGGGCTTTATATTTACGTAATAAAAAAACACAGATAATTTCATTTTTTTTTTATTTTACGTCAAAAGTTTTATTTATTTTCCTTCATCTATTGACATAATCATTGAAGGTGGTTCATAATCGTGGTCAACCACACGTGTCCTGAGCACTTCTTTGTAAATAAATGCAGACTTTCTAGGCGTCCTAGTTCTTGCCGGATCTTCGAAGTCAACCTCGTACAGTCCGAAGCGTTCACTGCAAGAAAATATAATCTTACAATGTTTAACAAAGTGGCAACATTATTTGTCAACTGTCAAACATAGCCGCCATTTTTAAATTTAACGTGAAATTACAACTGTCATAATTTTAACGAAATTTTTCTTTATTGAATTAAATTATTAAATATACTTTTTTATTTGTACAAATAAGACAGTTTTGAATAGATTCTTAATTATAACTAGCTGTCGCCCGCGACTCCGTCCGCGAGGGATTAAAAATAGATGTTGGCCGATTCTCAGACCTACTCAATATGCTTACAAAATTTCATTAAAATCGGTCAAGTCGATTCGGAGGAGTATGGGAACGAAAATTGTGACACGAGAATTTTATATATATAATAAAATGTGTCAAAACACAACGAAATATCCCTGTCTTTTTGTGCCACAGTATGCTTTTCCAATCATTTTCCCGAAACTACTGAAAGCAATTGGTCACGTCTGTAGACGTGATGACGAATCCATCGAGCACTTGGTGGTGCAGGGGAAAGTTGAGGGCAACAGACCACGAGGAAGATCGCCTTTGAGGTGGACCGACCAAATCAGAGCGGCTGTGGATGTCCCCCTGCACCAATGTACAAAAAAGGCAGCGATTAGGGAGGAGTGGCGGCGCCTGGTAAAGCGAGTCACTGATACGTGATGACCACGACCAGTCTGACAAGACTGTAACGACGAAGAAGAGAAGAGACTGAAAGCAATTGTAACACACTAGAAATATTATTTTGAATGTTTTATAGATAAAACAAATAATAAACTCACGTATATCCTTGCATCCATTCAAAGTTATCCATAAGACTCCATGCCATATATCCCTTGAGGTTGACACCGGCGTCCAACGCGTCTAGAACATTCTCCAAAGCGGCGCGGTAATAGCGCACTCTGTCGTCATCTTCCAGTCCCTGTTCCAGTCTAGTAGACCAGCCATTCTCCGTAATATACATCACTGGATTGTTGTACTTCTCTTTTATAAGTAGTAAAATTTTTAGAAGACTGTCAGGTGATTGCTGAAAAATAAAGAATAAAATAATACCATTAACATTTATACCAAAATAAGGGAAAAACAGAATTAAGAAAAAACTTAGTAGCATATATGTTCTTCCAGATTATGTTCTACATCTACGACAAATCTCAGCGAGATCCATACAGCCGTTCTCGTGATACTTTCCAACAAACAACCATCTAAACATTCGCATTTATTACTAAGATTATATGAAACCCTTCATTTAGAAGAGATTCTTTGTAATTGATCATGTTATTTGATTGCGATAGCGACCTTAAGATCAATTAAATTGGAACGAAATGATTACAAATACTGCAGATAAGCATAAATACTTGATGACCAAGTATTGGTTACAATAGTAACATTTCATTTATGTCTCTATGATATATCAATGTCTTACCTTTAACCAGCTTGATGCTGCTGCTGGCCAATCACTAGGAGCAAACGTACCTACATTTATATCATCGTGCATCGAAGGTACAGGATGTTCTTGAAGGTATTCAGTACCAGAAACTAGAACACCCGTATAATGATTGATACCAAAGAAATCGTACGCGCCTCTCATGAATTCTATCTCTTCTTTCGTAAACTCTGGCATACGTGACCTTGAGAAACCTTGTTCTTTACTCTTTTGGTTAACAACATCGGTTAATTCTTTAGGAAATCCACCGTTTTCTGAGAAAATTGGTTCAGAATAGATACCCCACTGAAAAATACCAAGTTTTAGAACATTAAGTACAAACAAAGCCGTCGAAACAAAAGAAACTAGAGTTTGCTTTGCTTTAAAATACATACATCAGCCTGTCTCATTAATTCTGTTGCGATTTCATCTTCCTTTGAATCAGTTAATGGTTCAGTCCAGGTCATTGCGTAAGTTATACCACAAATACCATCATCTCCAGCAAATTCCTTCTTGTACAAATGATAAGATCTCGCATGAGCTAACACTAAATGCTTCGCACAAAGATACGCACCTATTCCGGTAGCATTTAGTATCGGTGCCATAGTTACTGTGTCATAACCTTGGTAACAGACTTCTCTTGGCTCATTGAACGTTATCCAATATTTGACTCTATCACCAAATAAATCAAATACCACACGTGAATAATCTTCAAACCATTCAGGGAATAATGGATTGAGAAAACCTCCCAAATCTTGCAATTTTTGTGGCAAATCCCAATGGTACAGTGTGATCATAGGTGTAATACCGTATTTTAACATTTCATTAATATAATTATTGTAGAATTGTACACCGGCATCGTTTATTCTATTTGCAAAGCCATCAGGAAGGATTCTAGACCAGGATAATGAGAATCTGTAAGCGTCTAGACCGAGTTCCCTCATCATTTCGACGTCTCTCTTGTAATTGTTGTAAGAATCGGCAGCGATGTCACCATTGCTCTGGTCCTTGATTACAGTCGGGTTAGTGTGAGTCATATGGTCCCAGATGTTTTCTCCCTTGCCTGTGAAAAACAAACAATGATCACCGAAATCAGTAGGTAGTTTCCGCAGTAGGCCAACTTCTGCCGGATTCGTGGAGTACCGGATGACAGTATAAGCTGGCGAGAAACTAAGTAAAAGGATCTCAAGTTAAAGAAGAAATAGCAGTATATATTCGTTGAGAGCAGTAAACATTTGAACCAGCAAAAATGTTTAGAAATCTCTGGTGTAAAAAGATTCTTGTTTTTCTTTTCAGCCATATTACGCCTTCTTTTTAGCATATGTCTCCCCCAAAGATCGATACAATTAAACAGATTAACAAGCATGAAACGTAGATCGACTTTTAGAGTTAAATATAACATCTTATGCATCACTTAGTACCCAATGTAACTTACCATCTGCATCCCAACCTCCTTCTATTTGATATGACGCGGTCGCTGTACCAAACATAAAGTCCTCCGGGAACTTTCTCTGCTGCCTCGTAAACGCATTGCTGCCAATGGCTAATACACTGAAATGTTAATATATCGTGGTCGTTGTAGTTACAGCGTAGCATATCCAGGGCGGATAACATATATTTATACTAGCTGTCGCCCGCGATTTCGTCCGCGCGCAATTAAAAAAAACTCTTTATTAGTAGCCTATGTGTTCTTCCAGACTATGTTCAGCAGCGAGATTCATGAAGCCGTTCTAGAGATACCTTCAAACCAACATCCATCCATGTAAACATTCGCATTTATAATATTAGTAAGATAAATGCAGATTTAATCATCGTTGAAATTAATTAGAATTTGTATCGAGTAACAAAAGACGTGAAAGATTCAGTCAGGTTTCCTAAATAAAGATGTTTTAAAACAAACAACCTCTTTACTTTAATATTATGAATGCGAATCTATAGATGGATGGATGTTAGAAGGTATCTCCAGAACGGTTCAACGAATCTTAATGAAATTTGGCATAGATGTAGAACAAAGTCTGGAAGAACACATTGGCTACTACTTGAGTTTTTATTTTAATTCCGCGCAGACGGAGTCGCGGGCAACAGCTAGTTAACTCATTTATTATGAATGAATAAGATTCTTCTATAATTACGTCTTATGAAGATTCTTACACAGCTTTCTTTCTAATTAATCTACTATTTATTTTCTAACTTTAGTACAAAATGTTAGTGTTATTTTCTACTAAATTAATTAAGTACGGATATAAAATCTTTTAGAAAAAACATACCCTACGATCACCAGCCACTTCATCTTAACCAAAATCTAACAATTTGTTACATAACATGTTATAACATACGCTTTTATATTTACGCGGGAGGTTTTTGATAGTTGAGAGGGATTATTTGAAGATTTTTATCAATTTTTTTATCAGATATTTAGTTTGGTTTACAAACAACACGTCAATCAAAACTTATAGCTTACGTCCGTGACATTGACTACGTAATAAATCTTACTAATCTTATAACATCGAATGTTTTTATGTTTGGATGGATGTTTGTTTGACAGTGTCTCCGGAATTGCTCAACGGATTTTGATAAAATTTGGCACACATATAGAACATTGTCTGGAAGAACACATAGGCTACATATTAGGTTTTTTTTTAATTCAGCGCGAACGGAATCGCTGGCGACAGCTAGTATGTATTATAAATGCGAATGTTTTCATGGATGGATGTTTGTTAGAAAGTATCTCCCAAACGGTTGCATGGACGCCGCTGTTTGGCATAGATGTAGAACATAGTCTGGAAGAACATATAGGATTTTTTTTATAATTCCGCACGGTCGAAGTCGCGTGCGACAGCTTGTAAATTATTAAATTTGGTCGGGACTTTGGAAGTATTGTTAGCCTACTTTTTTCCGCGCCAAATAAGTCATTTATATATCGTTCATTCTATCTGACAGAAATTAATTCGTCGTTATAACCATACTAGTTGATAAAAAAATAAGGTACGAATGATCTTCGCGGTGAAAATTGTTGGCTGTTATGTCTTATTATTTTAAACTGATTTTTATAGAAAGAAAAACAGGTGTAATTCGATCCGTTTTCGTCCGATCCGTATTGTGGGTCAATTAATTAACTATTGCTTATATTCTTCTTATGCTTTGCTGCTTCAGTCGGGTACAAAACTAAGGATTAGAACAGACCATTACAATATCTTCTTTCAAGTATACTTCTTTTGATAACTACAAATATTATCAAGAGATAGTTAAGACGGATCATCTTTACATGGAATTTTTATCATTTTCAAGTATTTCATCATCATCAGCTCACTATAAGTCCCCACCGAGGGGCTCGGAGCCTACCCTAAGTTAAGGGTGATTAGGCCATAGTCAACCAAGCTGGCCAAGTGCGGGTTGACTGCACACATATCATTGAATTTCTCAGATATGTGCAGCATCACGATGTTTTCCTTCACCGTAAGAACGTCGGATATATGTACATATGTAAATCGGAAATAGAAAAACACATTAGTACATGGCGGGATTCGAACCCAGGATATGCAGATTGCAAGTCAAGTGCTTGAAACCCCTGAGCCAAGTATTTATATAATAAAATAAAATAAAATAGCCTTTATTGCTTTACAATTTTTTACAATTTATGATAGTTATACATGCCTATTAACTAAAAAAAACTAAATAAATTTAAACAATTCTACTAGTATTTAAATGATCGGCAACTTGTTTGTATTGAAAAGCTTGTCAATTGACAAATGCCTCCTCTAAAGATTTCCAAGTATTCCTATCTCTTGCTAAGCGGATCCATAACGGTATTATATATGTACGATCAAATGAAGAGTTAAGAACAAATCTACACACATTATTCTGATAAACTTTGTCATGTCTAAAACATAAATCTACCTATAGGCTTAGGAAATTATTGAGTTAAAGAAAAATGCAATGTCATCTGTTGTACTGTATGTAACATCACTAGCTCACTATACGTCCCTACTGAGTGGCTCGTTACAATAAATCAGGGTCGATTAGGCAATAGTCAATCACACTGGCCTACTGTGGGTTGGTTTTGATTTTATTTGAAGTATTCATATTGCTTACCTTAAGAAAAATAAGGTTACGTAAAGCATCGTAATTTGACTATTGATGCTGACAAGTTTAATTTTATTTGGAATATTTATATAATAATAGGAATATCAGTTAAGCATTCTTTGTTTATTAAAAATTAAACAAATTAAATCGTTTTATAATCATTTAATTAACAAAATACTCTATGATTTATTTGCCCTCGTCTATGGTCATTGTGCGTGTCTCTGGCTCGTACTCATGATCTATGACACGAGTTTTGATAATCTGTTTGTAGACGAAAGCGGATTTGCGTGGCGTCCGAGAGCGCGCGGGATCCTCGAAGTCAACCTCGTATAGACCAAAACGTTCTCTGCAATAAAATAAAATATTAATTAAATACGCATTTAAATAGACCAAAAATATGCAAAACTTCAATATAAATAAAAAAAAATGTAGATGGCGTTCTTTTCAGGGAGACCAAAATTCAAATGGACAGACAGCATAAATCGAGACTCGAAACAAGTTGGCATAGCAAATTGGAAGTCCGTGGCCAGAAATAGACCGAGATGGTCTAGAAAAAGAAAAAAATGGCGTTCTTTTAATTAATTATAAACAAAAAGGAGAGATAAAGCGTTACTGAATTGTAATCCTGTGTCACAGGCCCTAGCCTTGAAACTGCTGACAGAAGCTAAAAGAATACTTACGTGTAACCTTCCATCCATTCGAAGTTGTCCATGAGACTCCACGCCATGTAGCCTTTAAGAGTTATACCAGCATCTAAAACGTCAAGAGCACTCTCAAGGGCCGCTCTATAGTACCTAATCCTGTCATCATCTTCCAAGCCGTCTTCCACACGAGTAGACCAGCCGTTCTCCGTGATATAGAAGATAGGACTGTTGTATTTATTGTTCAAGTGTGTGAGCGCGTTCAAAATACTGTCTGGTGCTTGCTAAAAGAAGACAAAAATATTTATTGTAAGGTGTAAGAGAGAGACGAAATGCTGTTAAGGGTAAATATGATTTCTTCATTTGCTTCTACTTATGATGTCCTGGTACTTTCTGATGAAGTAAATTCAAATGTATGTTTGGATGGATGGATGTTTGTTAGAAGGTATAACGGCTGCATAGATGGAAGGATACGTAGGCTACTATTAAAGTTTTTTTACTGCCCGACCGTAGCGACATTTATATAGAAAATAAGTTTATTTATAATTACTCACCGTTAACCATCTAGACGCAGATTTAGGCCAATCATCAGGTACAGACGTAACAGCGCCAGTGTCACCATAAACTGAAGGTACCATGAACTCTGTGTCTTTCGCTGCTGATACCAAAAACGCAGTGTAATGGTTCACACCAAAGAAATCAGTTGCACCTCTTACAAATTCTCTCTCTTCATCAGTAAACTCAGGCATACGGGATCTAGGGTAGCCTTGTTCCATACTCATTTGAGCTACTTTCTCTGACAATTCTTTGGGGAAACCACCTTCCGCGGAAAATATCGGTTCAGCATAAATACCCCACTGTAACATAAAAGAATTGTTAAGAAAAAAAATCCGACAAGGCTACATCGGCACAACACTAGCCTTATTAAAATATCAACGTTTATGTCCCCTCACTAATCAATCTGATACTTGACTTGGTAACGAAAGCGCGTCATTCGCGCCAAATGTTTCTAACTAATAATTTCTAAAATAAACAGCTTAAATCAACTGTTAAAAAGTATTTAAAAAAATGTAATTTACCTCAGCTTGTCGGTATAATTCAGCTGCAATTTCATCTTCTTTTGAATCAGTGAGGGGCGGGAACCAATTCACACTGATTGTGATACCGCACTGTCCATCCTGGCTCGGAGCGAAGTCGTTCTTATAAGCATAGTATGCCTTAGCATGAGCTAAGACAAGATTCTTAGCGCAAAGGTACGCGCCAATACCGGTAGCATTTAAAATCGGGGCTTTTGTTGTTGAATCATATCCCTCATAGCAGATTTCTCTTGGCTTATTAAAAGTGATCCAATGCTTGACTCTATCACCGAATTGTTCGTATACAACTCTTGCATAATCTTCAAACCAATCGGGGAACAAAGGATTGGCAAATCCGCCCAAATCTTGCAACTTTTGAGGCAAATCCCAATGATATAAAGTGACCATCGGTGTGATTCCGTATTTCACCATTTCGTTAATATAATTATTGTAAAAAGCAACACCTGCTACACTGACTTTGTTTGATAAACCATTTGGTAATATTCTAGACCAGGATAATGAGAATCTGTAAGCGTCTAAACCGAGTTCCCTCATCATTTCGACGTCTCTCTTGTAGTTGTTGTAAGTATCGGCCGCGATGTCACCATTGCTAACATCTTTGATTACATTTGGCTTAGTGTGGGTCATACGGTCCCAGATGTTTTCACCTTTATCTAAAAGTTATATTCAAGTTATACTATCTACTAATAATTAATTTAATCTATTTTCATCGTCATCAGATCACTATACGTCCCCACCGAGGTGCTCGGAGCCTACCCTAAGTTAAGGGTGATTAGGTCATAGTCAACCACGCTGGCTAATAGCGGGTTAACTTCACACATATCTTTGAATATCTTCTCAGATATGTGCAGCATCACGATGTTTTCCTTCACCGTAAGAACGTCGGATAAACGTACATATATAAATCGGAAATTGAAAAACACATTGGTACATGGCAGGAGTCCAACCCAGGACCTGCAGATTGTAAGTCAAGAGCTTGACTCCTGAGCCACCGACGCTCTTAATATATATTTACAAGGACATTATTCAGTAACGGCTACTAGCGCCTTGAGCAAGATTTCTCCGGCGTCGATCTTTAAAATGCCGAGGGGGCTAACTGGGTTATGTAAGACTGAGTAATTCGCACACATATGGCGCCCCTTTAGAGCGCCCTTGTTGTGGCGAAACCGTCTCCTATCATGCCTGTCCGAAAATTATTATATTGCATAAAACTGATCCTAAGAAAATTGTCTTTACCATCTGCATTCCATCCTCCTTCAATTTGATACGAAGCTGTTGCTGTCCCGAAGAGGAAATCATCGGGGAATCTCCTCTCTTGTCTCGTTGAAGCTGCATTACAGCCTATAAGAAATCTGAAACATAAATTGTTGACAACCCTATTTGAAAAACAAAAATGAACTTATATAATGCATTGTATAATAGAAAATTAAATTACATACCCTAATAGTAGCAATAGCTTCATATTTATCTATCTTCTTACATAATAATCCGTGGTGGCTATTTATAATATTTGAGATGACTTATCTCGAACGTCCGAGATACGCTAAGCGCGCCACTTCAAATGATTATCTCAGACAGCCACTCGGTTCAACTGGCTATGAATTTATTAAGTTATTCTGCAACAGTTCCCTCTGCATTTTTTTACCGTATTTACCATGGGGAGTGTTCCGAAGAACTGTTTGGAACGATTCCTGCCGCCGAGTTCCGTCAACGGACGACACGACAGACTGCCAGGTTCCATCCACACCACCTGGATGGCTGGCGAGTGCGATTCTCGCGCAACTTCTTGCCTCGCACAGCTGCGTTGTGGAACGGTATGTCCTCGGTGGTATTTCCAAACCAATACGACTTAGGGACCTTCAAGAAGCGAGCATACCATTTCCTTAAAGGCCGGCAACGCATCTGTGGTTCCTCTGTTGTTGCAGATATCTATCGGTGTCGTTGATTACCTCGGTGTTCCCGCCGCTCGTTTGCCCCCTTCTCTTATAAAAAAAACTAACTACAAGACAGCAAACATTACGGTTAAATATGTAGGTAGGAATGACCAAGTATTCTTCCAGACTATATTCTAAATTTAATCGATCCTAATATTAATTCGTTTTTAATATAATAAAAATCTACTAATAGTAAAAAATAGAACAATAAAAGAATCAGATAAATCGGTGCAGCTGTTTACGCATTTATCAAATTTAACTTAATTATACATGGAATGGAATTTGCAAGAATATTTAATTATAAAGATAATTGAATCCAATGCACAGCTGTTTGTTTTTTGTTTGTTTCAGATTGTATTGACATTGACCTTGACCTCACAATCACTGTCATAGACTCATTTTCAAAAATATTTTTTTAATGCTAAGCACTAGTCTTTTACGTTTTCACCTTTTGATTAATTTTAGCCGCGAATGAAAACGTATGTATAATTTATATTATCTAAATAAATAAAAATGTGTTACAGAATAGACCAGGCGTTGTTTACTTGTAAATAGTAAGGACGTTTCCCAGCATTTGCTATTTCACATAAACACGTTTATAACGTGTTCGCACGAATGCTATAAAACGACCACCAATGTAGTAAAATTCTTGGCAAATTATTATTATTTCATGATAATCTTATTAAATTGTAGGTATCTTATAATATGTAGCTTTTAATAGAATAATCTTGTTTACTTAATTTTGGAAATTAACATCCCATACCATCTACCATTTACGAATTATCAAAACGAGAAAAAAACAAGCTTAGCGCCGTTATTTTTGCCATAGCTCTGTGCGACGACTGTTATTTGTTTGATAAATGGACGTAGCGGCGTCGCACGTGTAGCATCTTTACAATACGCCTGTACAGTAGGGCTCAAAATCAGTGCTGGCATACAACTGGCATTATATAAACACTAACTGGTTACAGTGATCCCGTGTCATGGCAGCGCTAATGTACCGGCATAATGGAAACACTGCTCATAGAAAAATACCTTTTAAGAACTGGTAACATTAAAAGTGTAATTGACTCTCTTTGTTGCCTTACTAATTTTTTATATGCTCTTTGGTTGGCTGAGTCACTGTCAGTGTCAAGTGTCTGTCATTGTAGTAGCAAAATATACAAATAAAATATTGTTTGTTGATTTTCGTTTTAAGTATCACAGTTTAAAGAAAGGTAAATGAACTATTGCAACATTAATTTATGAATAAAGATATGATAAGATAGAACAAAATGGTTGGTTCGCTGATGCTTTGGAAGTTAATGCACTGTAAACGTTTCAAGAAGAGATCTCCGAAGAACAATAAAAAAGAAAAGAATTTGGGTCTTCCTGTGCCCTCTACAGATCCTTTAATTACTACGAAAATAGAAGTAACCTTAGTGAACAAGATATGTAGAGTTTGTCTTAAAAATGGCGAGATTCCAATATATGACGATAATCGTACTGAAAATATTTCTGAGGCATTAATTAACTTCGGCGGTATTGAAATAACGCCTGACGATGAATATCCAAAATTTCTATGTGAATCGTGCTATGCACTTTTACGAGGCGCTATATTATTTAGAAAAACCGCGCAAGATTCCGATCAAATACTACGATGTCCACAAAAAGAATCTGATAATGAAAGCATAAATATTACAGACACGTCTATTGACTACAATATAAAGGAGAGAGACCGAAAAAAGTATATTTGTAAGAAATGCGATATTGATTTTGATACATTTTCAGAGTACAGTGAGCATAGATTATCACAAGAACATGAAAATTTAAAGCATACATGTCCGATATGCAAGAATTCCTACAGTTCAGTATACTTTAAAAAACACATGGCTATACATACATTAGAAGCATCACATGTGTGTGATATTTGTGGTAAAAAGTTCACTGTAAAAGGACTGTTTACTCGTCATAGACAGACACATTTCAACAACTTTCCTTTCAGTTGTTCCTTATGTCCATATAAAGGTAGATTTAAAGAATCATTAAAAATGCATATGAGATCTCACACAGGTGAAAGAAATTACCAATGTACTCATTGTCCTAGTAAATTTGTTCATAAAAGCAATTTAAATAAACATATGTTAATGCATAAAGATGGTTTTGATTTCAAATGTGAGACATGTGGTAGGGGATTTTATAACAAAAGATCTCTCGAACAACATATAAAAGTTGACCATAATGGTGTAAAAGATCATATTTGCAACATTTGTGGTAAAGCATTTGGATACAGAAAGCAAATGATGAAACATCAATTGAGAGTTCATAAAAGAGAGAAGTTTAAAAGTGGTAGAATGCCGTTATATCTCCAATTACAAAATAAAGAGGAAAATACAAAAGACATAAAATGACCTATACTATAATATTGTAAGGACATTTGAAAATAATTATAAGAAGATTCAAGGGGCCAGCAACGGCAAAGTTTAGTAGTAATAACTTGAAAATATAGTTTATAACAGATTGCAATTTTTTTGACTTCAGAACCCATCAAAGAAGCAGTTTAAAATGAACCCAAGAACCGCACCAGGTTAGGCACCAGAACCGCACCAGGTTAGGCACCAGAATAATCAAGAACTTTGATTATTCTGGTGCCTAAAATTACCCCTATTTATTTGTAATTATATATTGCATCCTTAATTCAGATTAATCCTGTCTTTTTGTACATACATAATTTCACTTTTGATGGATTTTTCCTGTAGAACCATATACCTCATTATTATTTTGTTATGTCCAGTAATTTTGTGGTTTCACAAATTAAAATTGATTTATATCATGTTATATTCTATTCAGCCTGAATCTTTGGTTTTGGATTTATCAATGTCGCCAACACAAATATATAAAGCTGATTCTTTTGCAACTAAAGATCAATGCAGTTATATTGATTAACCTATTAGTGCATAACGTTCGATAAAACGGACGCCAATAAAATAGTTATTTTAGGAGTTATATATATTTTACTAACCGTTTATTTTTTTAAACAGTAGTGTAATATATATTTGAAGTGGTAATACTGTTGGTATGACATGCCGGAAAGCATAACGTTAGATTTATCGGATGGGATATAAAATCTAAACTTTCATATTGCTTAAATATTTTATACAATTTAATGGTCAAATACACTCGAAATGAAAATATATTACAGTGATCATAATGAAAAAGGTGTTAATAAACTTTATGCAGTAATGGGTTAAATAGCTATTATTAGTAATTGTAGGATTGTCTTGTTTGTATCTAAAATATTTATTAGTCAAGTTTATTATACTGTCCGATCCTATACATGATGTTCCATGAAATGTGTCAAATGGATTTTGTGTTTTTTGTATTAATTTTTAGCATTCCATATTACATTCTGTCTATCAAAATTCATCTATAAACTCTTCATCAGCTCCCTAAATGTCCTCAATGGGGCTTGGAGCCTACCCTAAGTCAACGGTGATTAGGCCATAGTCAAGTTAAGCCAAGTTCGGGTTTACTTCACATATATCTTTGAATTTCTTAGATATGTGCAGCTTGCATCACGATTATTTCCTTCACCATAAGAAAACATTGATACATGTTGGGATTCATACCCAAGACTTGCAGATTGCACCGATGCTCTTAAACTCATATTTATTGTTAATACTTGCACTTTCTAAGGAGGTAAAAAGAAACAAAAAAATATTTAATATTTATTGATTTTTTAACTTACATTTAAATCATATTAAGTAAAGTTCACGTCAAAACATTTTCTAATAAATTATATCTAACTGCTACCGCCACTGGAATTTCCATAATTATAATTACCATAGCCACTACTTCCTTGGAATCCACTCGTATTACCGTAATTATTATTACTGTATCCAAAGCCGCCGCGATTGCCGAAGCCCCTTCGATTATTAAATCCATTTGAATCAATCTGATAGAACCCATATCCTTGATTACCAAACCCTCCTCTGTTCCCAAATCCTCCTCTATTTCCGAAACCTCCCCTATTGCCAAATCCTCCCCTATTGCCATAACTTCGATTGCTAAATCCTCCCCGATTGCTGTATCCCACTTGATCTCCGAAGCCTAAACTACCAAAGTTCCCTCTATGATTATTTGGGCCCCATCCCAATGGTGCTCTCTTTGTATCCAGTCTAAAAGTAGGTTTACAGGCATCTCGTTGTATATTATAATCACCTGCCTCGAATACGCAAAGCGATTTCATACAATGTAGTACCTGAAACAAACAATTCATAAATAACCAAACTAGCCGTCGACCGCGACTCCGTCCGAGTACGGTTAATATACGCTCATCAGCTCACTGTACGTCCCCACCGAGGGGCTCGGAGCCTACCCTAAATCAAGGGTGATTAGACCATAGTCAACCACGCTGGCCAAGTGCGGGTTGACTTCACACATATCTTTGAATTTCTTCTCAGATATGTGCAGCATCACTATGTTTTCCTTCACCGTAAGAACGTCGGATAAATGTACATATTTAAATCGGATATCGAAAAACATATTGTTACATGGTGGGATTCAAACCCAGGTCCTGCAGATTGCAAGTCAAGTGCTTGACCACTGAGCCACCGACTCTCAACGGTAAATATAGTAGCTGATTATTAGAGCTACCGAATCTTACTACTAAATACGAATGTTTGAATATATCTCCAGAACGACTGTATGGATCTCGCTAAAATTTGACATACATGTAGAACATGGAAGAACACATTGGCTAAGTTTATTTTAATTTCGCGCCTACGGAATCGCGGACGACAGCTATTATGTATATAAAATTTTATATAAAGTAACTAACATACGATAATTTTATATAAGACTAGCTGTCGCCCTCGACTGTCCGTGCGGAAATAAATAAAACATAATTAATAGCGTATTGTTCTAGATTCTTTTATGTATGCCAACTTCATCAAGATGTCGAGTCGTTCTGGTGATGATACCTTCAAACATCCATCCATCTAAACATTCGCATTTAGTAATATCGTACTGTACTATCTATGAATAGTTAATAAATTAACCTTTTTCTCAATTTGAGAGAATTCTAGTGCTGCATCAGGCTGAGCGGCGGCGCGCTCCACCAACTTCTCAATGGCGGGTCTGAGAGCCACCACCAGAGCTGCAGAGCGCGGATTCATCTCGAAGTTCAACCAATTGTCTAAACGTATCACGTTGTCTACCTAAAAAAATATAATTTATTATATGAATAAAAAAATCTTTAGATTAAAAAAAGAATTAAAAATCGGAAAAAAAAAGACGAATATCAATTCTCTCACACGAATATCAAATCTCCTTTTTGAAGTCCACCAAGATAAAGGTCAATCAAAGAACCGAGATATTTTCCTTAACAGTTTTCTCTTACCAGAGTTACTTATAACAGTACTTTGGTACCAGAAAATTTTGACTAAATTTAAGGGATTCCACTGACTGAGGCACCTACTGTTACTTATACCAGTGATTCCCAAACTCATTTTGTCTAGTGCCCACTTTGAGAATAAATATTTTTTAGCGCCCCCATATTTTCACATATTTAAAAACCAGTATAACATTAAATTAATTAATTATTGTGACTTATATATGTATATTAACGGAGAATTCTAAACGAAACTTTTACTATAACTCGCAACTTGAGACTTGCAGCGCCCACAAGGGGACGTTATCGCACACTTTGGGAAAGACTGTTTTAGACTAAATTAGTAATCTTGTATATTGTTAATATTTCATCCATGCCAACTAACCCATTCCACCTTCCTGCAGCCGAAGAGTAAGAGATGAAGAGGCGACACCATAGTTGTCTGTTTGCAGCAGATGGCGCGAGTACGAACTTTCTCACCAAACACGAACAGCGGTGATGGGAATTTCTGTTCCAGATTGCTGCAGTTCACTGATGTTTTATGTATCAACGCTGACTTGCCTTCTGTTGTTAATACCTGAATATTAATAATATGCTTATATTTTATTAATCTTACTAATATTATAAATGCCAATGTTTCGATAGATTACCCGGAATAAATAATACCTTGCCGACAGACATACAGACAGACGGACAGATGATGTTTAGTTACACGATGATATATTCTTGCACTGTTTATCTATTTATTTTTTTCTTTTTATTTATCATTGTTATGTGTTAATTACTGTTATTATGAAATATATTATCGTGTAAACTGTCATGTAAAGTGTGTATAGTGTCAAATTGGGGGTATACTGTAAGTATGATATGCAGTTTTTAAACAAATAATAAAAAAAAATATCAACAACATAATACTTCTTTTGTATGAAATATTTTTTCTCGTTATTACATCCAATTTCATTAATATTTATTCCACACAAAGTATTAATTGATGACTCAGAATCGTTTGATGATCCCTAAGGGAGTCATTTAGTGTTATATAAAAAATCAAATAAAATCAGCTCATAACATCGCAGGAGTCGTCGCCAATAAAATTACCTCGGTTAAAAATTGACATTAAGATTAAACCAACTCTTAGTTTTCACTTAACGACTGTGAGTGATATAAACAAGATGTATCCGTACCCTTCTCTTGCCTTGATGCAGACACACGTTGGGGTAAAGACCCATGCAGAGTAACGCGATCACCTGGTCCAGGACGGGGTCGGGACCATTCGACACCCAGTGCTGCGGCACACAACACTCGCCGGAGAAACCCACTGTTGTTGTTAGGATATCTGGAATGTATGGACAATTGTATTACATTGTATGGAGAAAAACAATCATAATTTTACTTCAAACTTATGTAAAACTTGAAATGGAATACTGAATAATGTAAATATGGTCATCTTGATGTTGGAAATTAAATTCTATGTTACTAATATTATAAATACGAATGTCTCGAAGACGGAGTCACGGGCGATAGTTAGTTTGTAATAAAATTTCGATTATGTGTTGCAATTGACTAAAGTACAGTCAACACTCTTCGCGGTGTTAAAGTTACAGAAAAAATTGTAAAACTACTGTATCTGGGCCACATCTTAAAAGTGTAAATAAACCAACAACATAATCACGCCCGTAACCAAGAGGGGTGAGCTGAGACCAAACCATTAATTATTCAGTTTAATTATTTCGGATTTTTTAGTAAATATTTTAAGAATTGGAATACCACCTGCAAATACCACACTAAGATAGATTAAGTATATAAAATAGTATCAACATACTAGTAAGTTGTGTCTTGGCTTCGTAGGTGACTTGCAGTGTGGTCTGCTGCACTCCCTTCCACTCGCACCAGCGCGTCGCCGCCTCCTCGCCCTTCGCCCTCTCTCTCTCCCATATCTGAAATTATGTCATGATATATCGCACATTCTTATTTAAAACAGAGCAAATAATAGTCCTTTTCTCCCTACTCCATCTATTTATAAGGAAATGATGGGAAGTAGAAATGCATTTGGAGGGGAAAGACTACGCGAAATATCTTTCTGGATGTCCCCTCCCTTGTTTATTATAGACAGACAACGTATTTTCAATCTTCAAGGAAAGTACGAAGGTACATGTCTTGCTTTAAGTTTTCTATGAAAAGTAAATATTTGCATATAATTATTGAAGCATAAGAAAAAAAAATCACTCAAATGTTACATACTTGGAATGAATTCAACATGGTGACATGATCTGATGCTCTGTCGCCAGCGAGCGCTCGCTGGTGCATGGACAATCTCCTGCGGCCCTCCACCATGAAGATCTCCGGGAAGGTGGTAGAGTTGGCAGCCATCGTGGTCAGCGCGTCGCCAACACCCAGCACGAAGCCCAACACCATCATCTTACCCAGACGAGGTTCTAGCATTTAAATGGGGCATCGGTTAAAACGTCCTTATACTTTTCAAAACAATAACTAAAAACTGCTATATAAAATATACGGCTTTTAATAACAACGCTATTGGTGGTCAGATTTTATTATTATTTTCTATCTGTGTATAGAATTTTTATACATCGTTGTAGGATAATCCTTAATACCTATAGGAAGCTTAGCCAGTATAGTCCCGAGTGGCGTGAGCGCATCCGCAGCGTCCAGACAACCGAGCTCACGCAGCAAGGCCTCCGCCTCAATGACGGCGTCCACCGGCGGCGGCTCCGGCGCCTTCGACAGGAAGTGCCCGATGCTGCCCAGCCGCAGCAACTTTATACTGCACCGACAAATACCATCACTGTACATCTGTCACTTCGAAGTGAATTGAAAGTAATCACACGTTCCATCCTAATTTAAGCGGTCTTTGACTACCCATCCTTTCCATATTAAACATAAAGTATGAATGGATGGGTAGGGGTATTCGAATTGGTGAAAAGAGTACATGCAGAAAGAGGGATCCTCTTTCTTAATTCAACTTCATCTGTTTATATGTAAGGAATAAATCTGCAAACTTGTTTATGGATGCTTTTTTAATGAATAAGCTAGCGTTTGACTACGCTCTCACCGGATGTGATGATATGATCAAAAGGTGGTACGCACTAGCTTATTGACTACTCTTGAAGGTATCGACATACTTGGAAAAACAAGCCCGCAACTTGTTCAATCTCTTTAGCTGGCACATTTGACACTATATACTAAGAAAATATTTTTTTAAGTATGCATATGTAGTACCTGAGTGCCAGTTCATGCAGCGGTGTACGGAACATCTCCGCTGTCTGGTGCTCGTCGAGGTGATCATAGCGAGCGCGCGAGCACAACGTGAAGCAGACTCCCGGCCGCACTCGTCCCGCGCGACCTTTGCGCTGTAATATACATGTAGCACCTACAATGTATCTGATAGTACTTAGCTCATATTGGCGACTGAGAAAATCGTAAGACTGCGCAAAATATACTTCCAAAATATTTGACTATGTTCCAAGATTAAAATAAAAAACAATTTATCTGTTAAATACTTGTTTTACTTACTAATTTATTTAAGCTAGTTTTAGCTTAAATACTGTTCATGTAATTAGTAAAAACTCATAAAACCTAAATACAACTTTGTAAAAATCAGAAGCGAATTCTAAATATTAATCATAGAAAAAAACACTAGTCAATTCAAAGTCGCGTAACGCACTAGTGGAAAAAGGGTTTAAACGAACATGCGGTACATACCTGTTCTAAATTCGTCCTACTAACCCAAACAGTGGCATAGGATGTCATATTATTATGAGATGTAAACAATTTCATTTTTGCTTTACACGAGTCAATCACATAAACAACATCATTAATCGTTATTGATGTTTCCGCTATATTTGTTGATATTATCACCTGAAATAATTAATATCGGTTACAATGACTTACAATTAAATTAAAGTATTCAGTCATTATATCCAGTGTTGGGAACTTCGGTGGCTCAGGAGTCTTGACTTGCAATCTGCAGGTCCTGGGTTGAAACTCTGCCATGTACCAATGTGTTTTCAATGAAGAAATTCAAAGATATGTGTGAAGTCAACCCGCACTTGGCCAGCGTGGTTGACTATGACCTAATCACCCTTAACTTACGGTAGGCTCCGAGCCCCTCGGTGGGGACGTATAGTGAGCTGATGATGATTATAAATGCGAATGTTTAGATGGATGGATGTTTGTTAAAACGTATCTCCAAAACGGAGAAGTCGCGGGCAAAAAATTGTAATAAACTAGCTGTCCACGCGAAATTAAATAAAAACTTAATAAGTAGCCTATGTGTTCTTCCAGACTATGTTCTAAATGTATGCTAAATTTCATCGAGATCCGTTCTGGAGATACCTTTAAACAAACATTCATCTAAACATTCGCATTTAGTATATTAGTAAGAGTAGTAAGATATACCTTAGTGATGCCTGGCGGAGGTGTTATAAAGACTTTCTTCTGATCTTCTCTTGGTATCTGACTATGCAGGGGCAGAATCACATACTTAGATGTATCCCCGAAGATATTTGATCGCATCAAATGTTTCATTAAAGCAAATATAATGTTCCATCCAGTTAAAAATATCAATACAGCTCCGTCGCCGTCCAATTTCCTTATGTATAGTAATAATGCTTCAATCAATTCAAAGCTTAGCTAAAATATAAAAATTATTGATTATTTCTTTGTTCTACATAATTTATTTTCAATATTTGTACCATAAACAAGGTTAAATTTAACTTTAAGATAAATTAATTTTTAAACGCCTAAATTAGCCATTTTAAAATAGCAATAGTACTAAAGTAAATTTTTGTAAGTGTTTTTTTTTAAGGAAAAGCATTAAAACAAATAACATTTTACAAGCAGATTGACAAATACATAAGTTATGTTTATAGATAACCTAATAAAAATAATTTATAAATTTACGAAGTAGTAAATAAAGACGAAAATTAATTTCTCTTAACAAGATTCATTACTTAATAACACGATATAAAAATAATTAAATTTGTCTACGCACATCTTTCTCGGACATTTTGCTTATGGTTTCTTTGGTATGCTGAGTGTAATTGTCTCCAAGGACACAATTTCTATTCAAATCTTCCTCCTGATCATCTCCCAAACCTAAAACAAATAACATTTTATAAATTAAAAATATTATTTAATTTATTTTTGGCTGTATAACATAAAGAACAGAGTCGAACCTCTATAAGCGAGAGTTATTTTAGTCCTGGCGGACGACCATTGCAAGCGAGAAACCTCAAAAAACATCGCGATCCTTTGAACTTCGCAACAAGTTCGACTGTATATTTATTATTAGTGAAATAGAATATTAGATATTTTACTACTGTAATAAATTTAACATCTTCCTACCTTCATCCTCTTCATCGTCTTCTTCTTTAGTAGCTCGTTTGCCGGTGACCTTTCGTTTACGTATTTCTGGAGGTGGAATGAACTGTGTCAGCTCTATACAATCTTCTAAGAAATATTGTTTCACTGGATACGTACGTCCGGGGATCTGGAAATATGTTTTTAATAGTCAATTATGACGTCATATGTCTCCAATTGAGGTTGAGCCACCGACGAGTCTCTGCAGGTCCTGGGTTCGAATCCCGCCATGTACCAATGTGTTTTTCGATTGTTGATTTACATATATACATTTATCCGACGTTCTTACGGTGAAGGAAAACATCGTGATGCAACCTGCACATATCTGAGAAGTAATTCAAAGATATATGTGAAGTCAACCAACCCGCACTTAGCCAGTGTGGTTGACTATGGCCTAATCCCCCTAAACTTAGGGTAGGCTCCGACCCTTCGGTGGGGACGTATAGTGAGCTGATGATGATGATGTCTCGAATTAAGAAAAGTAAGGTTAGCAAAAAAAAATTAAGTGTATCTCTTAGTACGAAAAATGATATCTTGCTAATATTACAAATGCAAATTTTTGGATGGATGTATGGATCTCGCTGAAATTTGGTATAGATGTGAAAAAAATCTGGTAATAGTAGTACTAAGTTCTTTTTTAATGCCGCACGGTTACATTCGCAGGCGACAGCTAGTTTACTATAAAATTTCTTGTTAAAGCTGTGTTTTATATTTTTTTTAAATTAGTGTCAATTATATACAAAACTCATTAGCACCATGATAATATTTTTATTTTATCTGGCATTACAACTCATGGTTCATCTACTTTAAAAAAAATATAAAAAAATATACCTCAATAACAGGACAGTTTCCAAAATAATTGGTGAACAATGTTACATCAACTGTAGCTGACATTAATATTATTCTCAAGTCAGGATAAGTATGCGCCATGTCACGTAACAGAATTAAAGCGAAGTCTGTGTCCGCGTCTCGCTCGTGAACCTGTAAAAAACATAACACGTTAAATCGAAAAAACATACTAAAATACTCAGTTTAATATATACTAAAGTTCCTTAGTAGATTTTTAATGTTGAATCTACTTAAGGGACATCTCTATTCGAGAGTTCCTAGGTGCGATTTAATTCTGACGTACCTAAGCTCTTAAGGCCCTCTGGCTTTAGGGACCATTTCGTTCTTAAATTATCACTAGAAGAGGGCCCTATGAACCATTTAATAATTAAATGATCCCTCAGACAGGGCCCCAGGAACCATTTAGTACTTAAATAGTCCCTAACAATGAGTGTGACAGTTGATATGTCCGTATTTTAAAAGCAGTGGTACTATCGGCTTACCTCATCCACGAGTACATGACTGACTCCTCTCAGACCACTTTCTAACTTCCTCAGCAACACGCCGATTGTACAGAACATGATAGAGCCGTACGGCCTCGGTAATGCAGATTCGAAACGAACTGAATATCTGAAAGAATTTATTTTTTTAATAGATATTTCTAGCGAATTCCTTAGAGTTGAATTAAAAAATATATCTATGATACTCGCACATATACAAGCAAATTTTTATTAAACGTCCCGTCAAAATAAGTCTCAAACTTATAATATGAACAGACATACAGATTATTTTTTTTGTGATGTTACATATAGACACACCATTCTTAACGTTTCTACAGTAGATGGTAATAGTCAAATAGTCACTTGACATCGCTGCGTATAAACAACTGTAATAAGTTAAATTTAATAGAGATGGGGCATTCCCGTAAACGCTATGATTCCTCTACCACTGTTAAAACTGTTTAATAGACAAAATTGGTTTAAATTCAAACTCACCCCACACTATTGCCTAGTTCCTCGCAACGTTCACTGGCGACGCGTTCAGAAACGCTGACAGCGGAGATGCGGCGCGGCTGCGTCACGCACACGTTGGCCCACGCGCCCTGACCGCTCGCTATGTAGTCGTCCAATATGAACTGGCACACCTGCGAACATACTGGCACACTCATCATCACACAGAAGACAGGAATCAAGTGGAACTCATTACGCGTACAGTCTGATGAGTGTGTTATTGGAGCCATTTAGTTATAAAATATTCCCTAAGAGAGGGCCCTTAGTGACTATTATGTACACAAATAATCACTAAGAGAGGGCCCTAGGAACCATTTATGAAGAACAAGTCGCAAAGTTAGGGAAAATATTCTCTTTGTGTATGTGTTTTCCTCTGTTGATTGGAATTAGGAAACGCATCTGCAATTATCCATGGTCCATTGTCGCTACGGAGAATTAAAATGGTTGCTTGCATGTTTGTCTAATTTTAATACATTTAAAAAAATCCTATTTTACATTTGAGTTTTTATGTATTATTTTTTAGTAATTAAATCTCTTTATGCCAGTTTTCAGTGTAAACTTACCTGAGTAGTCTTCCCGCAGCCAGTGTTACCTCTGATGATGACCACAGAGTTCTCATTGATGGCTTCCATTATAGTATTTTTCATAGCAAATACAGGTAACTGTTCTCTTTCTTTGAGACTTTCCTATAATAAATTTATAAATAAAAAAATCATCTATACATATAAAAATCAATTTCTGTTCGTTAGTCTCGCTAAAACTCGAGAACGGTTGAACGGATTTTTCTTATTTTGTTGTTGAAATGTTCGTGGAGGACTAGGGAAGGTTTAAAAGGTGAGAAAAATTCGAGTAACTGACTGGAAAACCCTAAAAACAGCCCTTTTTCTTATTGTAACATCTGATAATAATAACTCAGTGCAGAGGATATTTAATGATCAAATAGTAGGTAGATTAATATAACAGGTTCGTAATGTCTTCACAAATAAATCAGTCCACCCGTTGACCCCGCCTTTTATTGACGTTCCTTACACTTATATAAACGGTTGAATGGATCTCGTTGAAACTTGGCATAGATGTAAAACATAGTCTGGAAGAACACATAGGTTACTAATTATATATATTTTTTAATAACACGCAGACGGAGTTGCGGGAGACAGCGATATATATATTTTAGTCTGGTTTCAATTCCCAGTTTTTTTTTTTTTGAGAATATTTCTTTCTGGCAATATTTTAGCAGTGGAAATGAATGTATAGTGTTTAGGACTTTATTTTTAATAATAATAATGTTTAACCTGATACAGCTGACTGTTCTGACACACAGATCTATGATGTTTCTCCAAATCACTGCTGATTTCTTCCAAACTGGACGTAGCTAGAGGACCCTCGTCTGAAAACAAAATAATTTCATCATATAGTTAAAAAATCCGATAGAAAAAATGCTTGAAAAGTCAAAAATTGACAATAAAAAAGGGAAAAAATATGTATTAGAAATCAGAATATCGTATTATATACAAAATGCTTTTGTATGTTCGTTTAAAATGAAGTGTGTAATATTCCGCTTCAAAGATATACACAGACTAGCTATCGCCCGCGACTCCGTTCGGTTGAAATAAAAATATAATACCCAATTTCATTGAGATCCCTTGAACTACACAGAAGACAGGCGTGAAGTGGAAGCAATTCCGTGTTTCGTCTGATGAGTGTGCGTCCCGGAGGCCTAATTTGGTCCTCTTTCTCTTCCCACCCTTTTTCTCATAAGAAATGGATGGGAAGTGGAAGTGGACTTTCCGGATGAGAGGATGCATGGGAAGGGAAAATATTTTCTTTCTGTGCATCCTCTCCTCCGTCGATTAAAGGTAGGCAACGCATATGCAATTGCGTATGTCTATGGGCAACGGTCACTTCGCTATTCAGCGATTTCAGGTGGCCGATCGCTCGTTTGCCACCTTATGACATATAAAAAAACCATCCCTGAGATATCTTCTAACATACATTCATCCATCCAAACATTCGGATTTACAAATTAGTAAGACAAAATTCTCATGTCACAATGTTAGTTACCATACTCCTCTGATTTATAACATTTTTATGAAATTTTATATACATATTCAGTAGCTCTGACAATCAGCTACTATTTTCCAATCCCAAGCATACGGAGTCGTGGGCTACAGCTAGTATGTAAAAAAATTGGTAAATAAAACTTACCAATATTACACGCTGTCCATGCATTCCAGTTCTGTTGCGGCGGGGACCAGGAGACAACACCACCAGGTACAGGCCGGGCCTCCCTCATCGCCTTCACTCTGTCTAACTGCAGCAACGTCACCGTACTATCTCCATCTTCTGTACTCTCTTTTTTAGCATTTTCAACATCAATTGCTTCTATGCCTAAATCTAGAAATATACATATATTTTGTAAGACATAAAACTATACGACAGATGTCAAATGAAAGATATTCCAAAGTCAAATAAATGTGGCTCCGAAGGCCTCATTTTAGTCTTCTTTCCTTTCCACTCTTTTATAATGAGAAAAAGATGGGAAGAGGATGTGAATTTAATGGAAGTGATGCATAGAAAAGGTAATTATTCTATTTCTAAGCGAGACAGAGGTTCCTCGATTTAACATGGGCAAGGCATTTGCAATTGCAGATGTTATTGGGTAGTAATCGTTTCGCTATTTTGGCGAATGAAGAGGCCATATGGTCGATATAGTATTTGATATTTACCTTGCAATGTCTCTTCAATTTCTTTCTCCAACTCAGGATTTATAGCCACCGGGTAAGGCTTCATATTAAATTCACCAGATCTGAAATAGAATATCCACTATTCTTACTTATATTTTAAATGCAAATGTTTGGATAGATAGATGGATGGACGTTTGTTAGAAGGTATCCCCGGAAGAGCTCAACGGATTGATGAAATTTGGCATAGATGTAGAACATAGTCTGGAAGAATACATAGGCTACTAATTAATGCACTACGGCCAGAGATCAGGGGACAGCTAATAATATTATAAATGCAAGAGTTTAGATAGATGGATTTTTGTTTGAAGATATCTCCGGAACGGCTTAACAGATCTTGCTAAAATTTTGCATATATTTAGTACATAACCCGAAGAACACATAGGCTGTTTATTTTTATATAAATTCTTTAATAGTAATACATACCTATCTCTCTTTAGTGTACCACTGAAAGCTTCGATAACACCGAGATGATACAATTGTCTTACAATTGATAAAGCGCATGATTTACTTGCTGTGTGTTTGTTAGAAGCTGTCTCACGACCAGTCACGTTACGACCCAATTCTCGTACGTATATTGTCATTTCACAACAAAAACTCCTGAAATTTTTTTATATAGTGTTAAGCATTACTAAAATGTCGACGTTTGTGTCCCCTCACTATTCATTCTGACACTGGCTTTTGTATCGAAAGCACATTTCGTTCTATAGGATTCTAATAAAGTCTAATAGTAGGTAATATGTTTTTCCTGATGGTTTTAGTTGGGTCTTTTTAATTTTTATTTCTATACAAAAATATATTTTCATTGCTGTTTGTAGAATGATAAAGGTGATATGTTTTTGAGTAGAAATTATTTTTTTAATTTAGTCCACTGGATAAAAGCAACATGCAAATTAAATAAAAAAAAATCTAAAATCTATGACATCGAAGAAAGTATTTTAGCAATTTTTTTTTTAGATATTTTGGATTAGTGATTGTATTATAAACATATAGTTTCATGATTCTATAGTTTTATTACATGCCCAAAGAAAGTGAACATACATTTTTTTTATTGGCAAGTTTAGATTATATAATAATAGCAGGCAACACTGAATACTTACTCAAGTTGTTTGTGGTGCAAAATTACTGGATCTGTGGCCAATTTGCATCAGTTTAGAGAGATCTTATTGGGAACTGCACCTAAAGCAAAATCAAAATATATTTGATTTTGTCTTATTATTTTTCTTAATAAAAATATAATTTTCTCTACATATTTAAATAACTTTTGATCTCTCTATACTGAAATATTTTGATATTAAGAAGCTTAATTTGCTCAATTTGCAAAATTCGCTTCTTTTGTATAGCTGACAATAAAGGTTCATGTAGACATAAGCCGGAATCGTACGAATAACATATTATAAGACTGTCGCTCAGAGGTTAAGCACTGGACTTGTAATCTGCAGATCTTTGATTCAAATCCCAACATGTACCAATGTCTTTCGATTTACATATGTACATATAACCAACATTCTTACAGTAAGAAAACACCCAATCATGCAACCTTTACATATCTGCGAGGAAAGTCAAAGATATATGTGAAGTCAACCCAAGGGCTTAAGTTGACTATGGCCTAGTCACCCCTAACTTAGGGTATGCTCCGAGCCCCTCAGTTGAGATAATAATAATGAATGATCCCTTAGCAAGCTTCTGAATGAAAAACTTACCAAAAAAAAAAAATAAGAGCCTTATACTGCTATGATGTCACCGCTGGACAGTTAGAACTATTCCGCTACTCTTATGGTGCCAGCTTATGTGTAAATGAATCAGAACACTTCCATCATAAACATTCAGGAACACTAACATAACCCTAGTCTCCATATAACAAATACCAGCTCTAGAATAAATCAAAGATACTTCTAGACACCAAAATATCCTAACCAGTGCCATATTCCACTGGGAATGACATCCCTTTTTTTCACGTCACTTGTTTGTTATCGATTTCAAGAAAAAGAGTACCAAAAGACATTTTAAAAGAGCAGAGCTGGTATTATTTTATCATCACATATTGACCACAAATCCAGTATTTCTATGAATGGTCAGCCATTGATTTTTCAATAATTAAGAATAACCAGTGGCTTTCTAATACAACAACAATGCTAACATCCATGCGGCAATGCTATTTTTATAACAAAAAATAGAAGACGCGCGTGGTTTGTCGCACTAGTGGAAAAAGGGTATAAATAAACATTGATATAGAAAAAATATTTTGTATGCTTTAAGCTACTTACCAATAAACAATACTTAATTTGTAAGAAACTGTGCCAATCTTACTAATATTATAAATGCGAATGTTTAGATGGATGGATGTTTATTTGAAGGTAGCTCCAAAACCGCTGTATGGATCTCAATGAAATTTGGTATACATATAGAACATAGTATGGAATAACACATAGGCTATTTATTATATATTTTTTTTAATTCCGCGCACGGAATCGCGGGCAACCGCTAGTTTGTATAATGATGGTTACAATTATATTTGTAATTACTTATCTTTGATTAAGCTGTTCTTAAGAAAATCATAAAACAAACAGATATCATAGTATAAATCGCAATCAGCTTTGATATTTAAACTATAACTTATGTGCATATAGCCCATTATGTGTTAACCCTATTAAGTTTATTAACACCTTTTTCATTATGATCACTGTAATATATTTTCATTTCGAGTGTATTTGACCATTAAATTGTATAAAATATTTAAGCAATATGAAAGTATATTTTATATCCCATCCGATAAATCTAACGTTATGCTTTCCGGCATGTCATACCAACAGTATTACCACTTCAAATATATATTACACTACTGTTTAAAAAAATAAACGGTTAGTAAAATATATATAACTCTTAAAATAACAATTTTATTGGCGTCCGATTTATTGAACATTATGTACTAATGGGTTAATTAAACACAGTAAGATATATGAAGTAAGTCACAAACCTCGTGTGATCTGGACCTACAGCTTTGTAGACGTAATCCGCATTAATTTTATGTATTTGCATAAACTGATGTAGTTTCGATTTAGCATTCTCCATTGTCCAGTTGCCATGGAGAATGGCATTTACATCTAAATCTTCAGCTTCTGCTACGTTCTTCTGCTGTTGTAGACGGTCCATGTATGTGAATGTTTGGCTTGGACCTCCTACCGCATGGTATGCTTGTCCCATGATTTGTGGACCCATTCCTTCCTGAAAAATCATACTAATATTATAATGGTGAACGTTTAGATAGATTGATGGATATTTGTTTAAAGGTATCTCCTGAACGGCTGAACAGATCTAGTTGAAATTTGGTATAGATGTAGACCATCGCCTAGAAGAACACATAGGCTACTTATTGACTTCTTTTTTAATTACGCGAGGACGGAGTCGCGGGCGACAGCTGGTATTATATAGCTATTAGCTGTTCTTCACAAGGGATTACACCCTCAGACACATCCTAAATCTTAACAATTACCTGGAAAACTGGTCTCTGGTTATGTGTATTTGGTTGAATTACACCAACAATCCCGCTATTTCCGGAAACTTGTGGAACTTCATTTCTAACATTAACATCAGCAGGAACTTCAGTTGAGTTTATCACTCCGGTTCTTATCAAATAATTAACAAAATCCCGCGAAGCATTCTTCTGAGCTTCTTTCTTAGTGACAGAATTCCCTGCACCAGCATCTGTGTAGCCATCTACTCGAACTTCACACAAAAAACGCTGACGATGTTTCGGTCCTAAAAGTAAAAAAAATGTTTATCTTATTTTCAATTAAAACAGTATGATTTGATATTATATTACTAAAGTACTGACCATTGGTCAGTCTAAGTTAAACTTACAAATTTGGACTTATTTAGACCCTTGACTATACTGACCTTCAAATTTCTTTACGTGGGGATGACTAAAATCGATATTATTTAATGGTGACATTACATGTTTTCAGTTTCATATGTAAACAAATATTACTTTTTAGTATGTATTCATCATCAAATAGTCACAAACCCAAATTATACTCACCGGTAGGACGAATATCGAAAATTGGCGTTAGGTTTCTTTTCGAACACCAAGAAAAAAGATAAGATTTAACATCCATTTTTGCAGTTCAGCACTGGACTGCACTCAAAAGTATTATAATACTAAAAACAATAATTTCGTTAAGGTTGAATGGAAAAATACTGAACCGGTACACATGAAAAATTAAAATATTTGCATAATTCATTAAATTCAATCACATTCCAACTCTGTCCACATTCCATAGACATTGACAATTTAAAATATGTTGCCAGCTCATAGAATGTTTGTTTTTTTATCATTATTGTCTATTATTACTCGTTGATTTGGCTTAAAATATTTTGTAGCCAGACCAAAAAATCATTAAAAAAAAGTTAATTGATATTTGACAATGACATATTTTGGTTGCCCTAACATTTATCTATTTAATTTAATATAAGCGGTTCCGATTTATCCAGGAAGCATATTTTGTATTCACTGTTAAATTAGACACGTACAGTCTAATTAACTATCAAAATGAATATCGTTAAGGTTTGTTATATTATTTACAACCTAACAATTTTTGCACACCCACCATGTTTCTAGTACCTTTTATTTTGTCTTCATAGAATCTTTGGAGAACCGTACCAGCTATTCGAAGCAGTTTCGGCATCAGTCACAACATTCAGAATGTCATTCGCCCCTTTTCGACTACAATAACCCCAATAACCAATATCACAGAAAATATGCCTCCATTAGAACTGGATAAATTATATAAAAGGGTGGAACTAGAAATGAGAGGTATCGACCCAGCTGTACTTCTAAGTTATTCATGGTTCTGTGTTGCAGCGGCATCTCATTTAGGTATTGAAGTTACCAAGAAGTAAGTATATGCGATTTTATATTCAATTTTATGAATAATTAAATTTAATATTAACTAACCCTTTAGTTCATATTATGTGTATGTTTTTACCGCACACCAAAAATACACTTCAACTACACTGTTATTGTACAGTGATTTGTCAATTTTTAAAATTTTTATTTACTATTAAAATGCTTTTTAATTTCCACAAAGACAGATTATTGGGTATAGCTAGTTTACAAATAAAATTGTTTTACAGTTGGGCCCTGAGGAAAGCCGAGAAGGAAAGGCATACACTTCTAAGGTGTGTTCACATATACAAAAAGCACAAAGTACAGTACGAGATCAGAACATACTTTAGATTCATACATTTACAACGGCTTACGGGTTCCACATGTGACACCTACTTAGAATACATAGAAAGGAACCTTCCCGAAGGCTGTGCTCTTAAAGTCACAAAGGTTGAATGTCAGAAATTACCGGAACATATTGTACCACCAACTGAATAATTCATGCTCTGAAAATGTGACTTTTTAGTTAAGTATTTGTGTTTTAGATTAGATTAATTTCTAGAAATAAATATGTTTATTGAATTACTTCGTTTTAATGTGAGTTGGCCTTTATCTTAAGCTCTCATGTTTAAAATATCACATATTAAAGTTTTTAAAGAAAAATAAAATATATATACATCAATCATCAAGCTAATATATTTATACAAATTGTGTATTATATAATTCAAGTATTAAATACATTTAACCCTTAAATGAGCTACATGTTCAATTTACGTCTCATCGCTTATGGAACCTAAATAAGGTAACTCTTTTTGTCAGATAAGTTAATTTTACTAACATCATCTCCCTACCTTTTTCCTAGTAATTGAAGATAGACATAATACTTATTTAATATAAGATTCTGAATCACATTAAAATACATTAATCATTGCGATTTAGGCGTAATGTTACAACAAATATATTTTTAATATAATTATCAATAAGCAAGTAGGCATTTTGGATTACAGTAATATCTTGAGATTTAAAAAACTGATAGCTATATAAACAATCATTATTAACCATAGTTAGAGCCACAAATTTATATCATTACATTATTCTTAAAAAGTACAATATAATATTGAATACTGCTTACATTAAGTATATAAGAGGAATGTATGTAATAGAGTATATAATAAAATGTGCAGATCAGTCCATATCTTTGGCATTTAATATCTCTTTGGCAAAACAGTCGGTTTAAACTTTTTCTATTCATATTGATGACTTTTACACACAGTCAGAACAAAGAGAATGGCAAACACAAGTTCCAATGCATGGAACATGAGCATCACAGCACACCATATGTACTCTAGACGGAGTATATAAGTCTGGTATATAAGGAAATAACAAACACCAACCGCAGATGGTATTGTAAGCACCACTGAGAAGAATACTGGCACTTCTGTAAAAAAAATCATAGAAATCAAATATTCGTGAATTAAATGATCCTGAAGTTCAAGTATGAGGTATACTTACTTTTACTAGCCAAATTTCCTCTCCTTCCCAAAAATATACGAATAACTTCGACCAAACAAAGGGCACAAAATATTCCGGCTTCGGTAAAAAGAGCGTTCTCTGGATACGAAACATTAATAGCTTTCAGTATGCCCATGGCTACTTCACACACGAAGAACATTCCTAAATAAAAAGAATTTAAATAAAGTAGTATTTCGTAAGCCAAGCTAGAGTTAACATTAGTCATTTTCGACATTTTCTCAATTTTTAAATTGTTTGTTTACCACTTTACGAAACAACCGGTCAATAAATTTTATTTGACAGTTCTAGTATTGCCATATTTAAAAAGGAATGACATCATCATACCATAGACAAAACAAAAACCTTATTCGTCTCTTTTTGTCAACAAAAACATTTTAAACGCAAAATTTAATCAGAACGTTTAATATTTTGTTAAATAAAAGAAAAATCAGTTTGGTAAAGATAAAAATCACTTTATTAAAAACTCACAAATACGTACAACACTCGTACACATACCACATGGCAATACTAAATAATAGAAAAACAAATATTTTCTACGCCTTCTAAAATCTTCGGAGTATCGAGATATGATCGTAATAGGCGAAACAATTTTTTTTTTCATGACATCTTGGAGAATTAATTGCTAATCTGTATATGTATTTATTTATTGACAATATTGGACAAAAGTTCACCTAATTAGTATTTTGGACAAAATACCAAAATTAGTATTTACTATTAAGATGTTTTATTTCTTTAAATATTTCTTACCACAAAAAAACGAGGGAAAAATCTTTGAAAAAACCTAAGCTGTCACTAGCATAGCACTAGCATTTAGATAATTCTTAAACGAAAGAATGTTGGCGATATTCGTAATAATTTATAAAATAACTAAGATTATTCACACAATAATTGTGATGTAATTGAAATATATAAATACATTTTTTACAATATCGAATTCAATATTAACGAAAAGATTTAGTTATATAAATAATATCATTAGTAGGAGTAACATAAAGAATGTTAACGTATAGAATGAACAGAGAGAGCCGTTGGCAAAATTGAATAATTGTGAATAAAAGATTTAAATTCCTAAATTTACGTAAATTATTAGCATATGACACCTACTTTGTAAAATTAATAAAAATAAATATAGTGGAAACTATATTTTTTTTCGTTTATTCTGACCCCTTTTAACTTTACTTATAAATTATTATGTATTCGGTATTAAAAAAATATCTTTAATAACTGCATTCTATATAAAATGAGATTGAGGATTACAGAAATTGTTATTTGAAGAATGAGATAATGTAATCATAGAAAATATTTTTAAATACTTTGGTTTGGAAATAGATTATAAAGAAATTAATATTAATTAAATATCAGTCAAAAAATAGGACATGCTCCACCAAAGAACCATAAACTATTATGCTGAATGTTGCCATTATAAAGTTTTATAGTAGACATTAAATTACGTTCAAAATTACAAAAAAACAAACCGGGAATTTTTTGTCTATGGTCTGTTTCCGAACTAATTTGACATAACTGTAATAGATATCAATAGAGCCTTTTTCTAGATTGTTCCTGTCTTTTCTGGTACCACATAATGCCTAAGACCAATATAACCATAATGACAATAGCTACGAACATCATGTATAGGAAAGATTTGACACCAGACATTGCGGGTTTTGTATCGTCCACTCTATCCCTCGGCGCTTCGAAAGACGCGGCCGATGGGATTATTTTCGATCTGTCTTCATCTTTGTTTTGCTGTAAATAAAATATTTTATTTATAACATTAACAAACTGACATTATGTACAACGATTTTAATTTAATGCAACACTTGCAATTTTTCACTGGTGACTTATACACTCATATTTACTAAAACTACACTAAGTAACCCTCTCATACACCTCCTTTTAGTCCGGAAGTTAGATGCTAATAATTACAATCGTTTTTTTTGTATCATAAGGTGGCAAACGAGCGAGCGGCCACCTGAAATCGCTGAAATAGCGAAGTGACCGTTGCCCATAGACATACGCAATTGCATATGCGTTGCCTACCGTTAATCGACGTAGAAGAGGATGCACAGAAAGAAAATATTTTCCCTTTCCATGCATCCTCTCATCTGGAAAGTCCACTTCCACTACCCATCCTTTCCATCACATTTTCAACATTGATTTGGGCATAATAGCCGTGTAATAAACCAAAAAAATTAGAGATTTGTCTATGGCGAAACCTTACGCATAGATTAGCTAATCTGTCACTTATCCTACATAATCTATGATCTAACGTCATTTGCATGACTACATGATTTAATACTGAAATATTTCTTACCGATTCCAATAAATCTAATTCATACATCTTGATAGATATGATATCATGATTGTCACTCAGATCTCCCGTAGTTGCAGACGCACCAAAGTAGTATCCCGTAGGTAGAAGAATGTTTTCCACTTTCAAGCATTCTTTCCACGCATTCTTACCTTCTAAGTCGGTGCTGACTGGAAAAAGGTCAAGTCAATAATAAAACATATTTTTGTTAAATCTTCTGTGCTTCAAGAGAAGAACATGAATTTAATAAATTAACTAGCTGTTGCCTGAGAATCCGTCCGCACGGCATTAAAAAAAATTAATAGCCTATGTGTTCTTCTTAACAATGTTCTATTTGTATGCCAAATTTCATTGAGATCTATTCAGCCGTTCTGGAGATACTTTCAAACAAACATCCATCCAAACATTCGCGTTCATAATATTTGTATGTTTAACTTTCAAAATTGTTCAAATTGGTTATAGATCACATTGAAATTGTCATAATACATATAGATTAAAAAATTTAAATGAAAACAATACAGAAATCTAGTTCAAATACACAACTGGTTAAAATAGTTTACTATGCATCCGCTGTCTTTTATTAATAAACAAGACAAACTAAACAAAACTGTTAATAGTTAAAATGAAAAATATTTTTAACCATAGACAAACTGAAATTCAGACAATCCATGAATTCTTAATCTTACTAATATCATACTAACATTTTTATTTTCATACTAATGTTTGGATGGATGGATGTTTATTTGAAGGTATATCCAGAGCGGCTGCATGGATCTCACTGAAATTTTTCATAGATGTAGGACATAGTATGGAAGAACGCATAAGCCAAGTTTTTTTTAAATACCTCGCGGACGGAGTCGCGGACTACAGCTATTATTTACATACTTACCAATCAATGTATCATCTCTATAAGTAATAGATATGTGTGTGTCATGGTTAAAATTTCTGAATTTAGCCTCGCAGCCGGCGAGCTGTGTATGTGTGCCATCTCTATCATGGTCGTAATGGAGGCTGCCGTTGTTGATCATCGCTGATATGTATGGATGTTGATGCTGGAAGAGACAGGAAAGCCTTTATACCAATAATGGAATTGGATTGTAGGTTAAAAAGCGCCTATTGAAGATCCTAACAGTTGATTCAATCTCTGTGATCAGTCGGAATCCTCACTACCCCTGCCAACCTTCATTGCCAAAATGAAGTACATCAAATAGGCACAAAATACCATGGTTTATAGCCTTTCCATATATAGAAATCAGAGATATGAAGATTAAGACTATTTTTTTATCAAGGAGCCATTCATTCCCTTTACAATCAAGCCACTTCCTTGTCATCTCTTCCTTATTAGAAATGGGTAGGAAGGGAAGACTTTGGCCTCCGGCAAACAAATACATTGGTTGTAACACAGATTATCCACAAGATGCCTGTCTTCTATGTGGTCATTCGTAGCAGCTAATGTTGCAGATTCAATCAAAGCTAAGACTAGTAATAATATTTAAAAATAATCCTATCATAATTCCCTTTATTGCAGAAATAACTAATCAAATTGTAATTCATATCAGATGGTGTTTTTATTTATTTACTCTAAAGTACAAAAGTACTGAGAGCGTCGGTGGCTCACGGGTCAAGCACTTGACTTGTAATCCGTAGGTTCTGGGTTCGAATCCCGCCATGTACCAATGTGTTTTTCGATTTCCGAATTACATATGTACATTTATCCGAAAACATCGTGATGCAACCTGCACATATCTGAGAAGATATTCAAAGATATGTGTGAAGTCAACCAAACCGCACCGGGCTAGCGTGGTTGGCTATGGCCTAATCACCCTTAACTTAGGGTAGGCTCCAAGCTCCTCGGTGGGGACTTATAGTGAGCTGATGATGAAAGTACATAAGTATACTTACATTATGTGCACCATTATGATTACTATATGTGTCTAGTACAATCGCAAGACCATGGAAGTAATCCTTGCTACCAAACACTGGGCCTGTCTGCATACGATCTCTGACGTACCATAGTGCAAACCCATCACCAAAGAGATCCTTTCCTCGACCATGGACTTTAAATTGAACTTGTAATTCCCAGTTCCTAGTTTGACATGGCTGTTACAAAGAAATTAATATTATTAATATGCTGAAATATTAACAGCGTGATTTCACAGTAAAATATATACGAAAATATAATGCATATACGTATTATTAGGTATCAACTGCGGGATTCCTCGATAACTACTGTCTTATATCAGTGAGAACTGATCTTTACAGTACAATCTGCAGCTTAGTCACAAACGAAATCTGTAAATACAAAGCCAACTTAATCTTATGTATAAAATTCTCATGTCACAATTTTTCGTTCCCATACTCCTCCGAAACGGGTTGACCGATTCTCATGAAATTTTGTGAGCATATTGAGTAGGTCTGAGAATCGGCCAACATATATTTTATAATCCCGCGCAGACGGAGTCGCGGGCAACATCTAGTTGGTATATAAAAAGAGAAGGTTCTCATTTCCTCTATATAATTTATACAGATTTTTTTCCAAATGTTTATTTTTAATAATTAAATTAATTGTTCTGTTTCATTTAATAATACAAGTATACAAATTATCAATGCGCAAAATGACCTTGTATTGAAATAAATGCAAATGGCTGATTATTATACATAAACATATCTACAAATAGGTAAAAGGTCTGCGTCGATACTAAGTTGTATGTAGAAAAGGCAATGAACTTTGAACATATAATATAGACTTATTTACATATATATTTGTACATGAAGCGACAATTTTGTACACATTTTTGCAGAAATTACACTAACGGAAATTTAGCAGACCATTAATAAAGCCATAAATAAAACTCTAACAAAAGTTATAGTAAAACGACGACTGGCAACTAATAAATTAAAGAAAGAAGAAATAGTTACTTTGAAAAAGCTGACTGACTATACTCAACACTTAATAACAACAA